AGAAAATGTGGTATAATACACACAGTGGAGTTTTGTTCATTCGTAAAGAAGGAAATTATGTCACCTGCAGGGATGTAGGAGGAACAAGAGATCAGTATGTTAGGCAAACTAAGCAAGACATAGAGAAACAGCCAGCACATTTCCTCTCATAGGTGGAATCTAGGGTAGGGTCTGGAGAACTGAAATGAAATTAAAAGGGAGACTATTTGGGGTGTAGAAGTAGAAAAGGGGACAGAGAAGGTGAATAGAAAGGGTAATGGGGAAAATAGTCACAGTACATTCTGTTCATGTAGGTAGCATCATAATAAAACTCTACTTGGTACAATTAATACATGCTAATGAATGTATCCTGCTTTTTAAAAAAAGCCACTAGAATATCTACATGTAAAAGTTTAAAGTAACATCTACTTGCGTTTTAAATATCAAACTAATAAGAACATTAAAAGTTTGATGCAGTATGAAAATTATATAAGAATTTCAGGAACACTGTCATCGAACACTAAGGTACTCGGTAATTACTTGCTGCTTGGCTGAACATACCTATTGAAAGTCGGCAGAGTGAGATGGAGAGTGGGTTGGGGTCCAGATATGCCTGTATTTGGAGTTGCGCTCTGGCATTCATTAGCTGAGTGTGACCTTCAACAAGTGACTTAACCTCTCAAGGCCTCAGTGTTTCATCTACAAATACTACAGATGAGTAAAGGTCTGCTTCACAGTTAATTGTATGAAATGAAACATGTAAATAAATATAGGCAGACACAGTATCAGTGTGTTTCATCATGTATTTTATCATGTATTGTAATATCATGAGTTAGTCTCATCACTTAATTTCTCCTTGACTAAATGGGATTAGTAAGGTCTAAACACATGTTGTGTTTTCAGAGATATAATTCAAGTAAACATAGAAAAATAATTATCTACTTAATATATGTACATGTGGCATGTAGCAAGTGGTAAGTGTGGCTAGCATCATGAAAAACAACACACAACATGGTGAGGATTTGACTCTCCGTTTTTCCCACTGACTGAGTCCAGTTTTGTGCAGTCCACAGCATTTTATTGCACTGGTTCAGGGGCGATTGAAAGGCTGTGTGGCTGAGATTTATATGGCTTTAAAATCGTGGGAAAACAATTAACAGGTATAGGAGTTCATTGTAGCAGAGACCCAGCTTGTAGCAAGTACCAGATCAGTCATTCTACAGAGTAAATACTGTGACTAACCCCATCCAAGTGCATTAGTTTGTAGTGTTGCCTGCTGCCTCGTGTTCTTAATTTAAGATATTAAATGCAAGTGTTTTATTGAATGCCTCAGACCAGAATAAGATTTCAGATGTTTGAATTTCCGGTGTGGGAAAAGCAGAACTATGTAAAGTACTCAGGTGTAGAGATGCACTGAAGGTGCTTCCCAGGTCACCAAAGCTTTTTCTTTTTTATTTTTCTGGCTTTTCCCCCTTTCCCTTTTAGCGTGACTAGTTTGTGTGAGATAAAGTTGAGAATTCTTGCTAAAGGCCTTATAAACATGTGTTATTCGATTTTAAATCTGATTTGAAAGTGCCTCTCTCCTGCTCCCTCTGAATAAAGTGACCTTTTCAAATGGAGGGAAGTGGCTTCAGATGACAGTCTTGATAAATGCGGTCGTGTTCACTCAATAAAATAAGGCCCAGTGCATTTGAGGATAAATCAGTGAAATGTACAGCCCCACCTGTCTGTCTCCATCACTCATTTCCACTGTCAGTTTCCCAGTGGCTGATGGATCACAGTTGCTGTAAAATTAGACAGCCTTTAATCTCATTTCATCCTGATTAGCTCCTCTTTCCCCTTTCCCTCTAACTCACTGACTGACACGCTAAAAACTCACACGGGGCTGTACATGAACGTGGGGAACCAACCTCCTCCACCACCTGCTTGAGAGGACAAGCAGGTGTCTACCTCTAGAGAGCTCTGCAAAGGAGAAGGGGTGCCCTTGGGGTGACTTAAAGGAAAATGAATATTTGGCACCTCGTGCCCTGCCCAGTTAAATTTCCACCTCTTGCCCATGACCACATTTATTTTGTTGCCCTTTGAGTTTTAATCAGTAGCCAAGTGATTTAGGAATTTTGCAAAATTCAAACATTTGATTGAATATATTTTTTTCTTAATAAATGTAGAAGCACTCCACCTTGAAAAATAATCTCAGAGAGTCATTCATGTCTATTTATAGCCTTTCACTTCACAGTGATAATTCAGAAAGGGTAATAATCCAAGAATAACAAAACCCTCGCCCAAGAAATGCAGTATGCAAGATTTTCAAGCAAACAAAAACACGTTGATGATGAGAATACCATGTAACCTTTTCAGTAGAATGCCCAAGACCTTCTTCTCCTCAATTTTGAAGAGTCCAATAGTTTCATTTGTTTGCAAATGGCATAACAATGGAGGTAATCAAATGAGAAAGAGGCTTAAGAATAAATCATGTATTATTTCCTTCACTTAATTTCTGCTTACCTGAATGGGAGCTAATGAGCAACAAGAACCAAACATAAATGTTGCTGTATTTTCAGGGATTTTGTTTTATTACAAGGCTGGGCTCATGGTTAAAGAGAAGAAAATACTAATTTTTCATTATTTTTTATGATTTGTGCATTGAACTAACCAAAGTTTTAAAGTTATTTATATGAGGCATGGTGGTCATGGGGTGAGCTGATTGTAGCTGTGGGCCTCTATTTCTGCAGTGTCACATGTGACTAAATGCATGCAACGGAAGTTAATGCTTTGTAAGTTCTTGCTGGTCAGGGGACGTTATAACAAGCCGGACCAGCGCAGACCAGTCACAGTAAGTGACGAGGCAGTCTGGTTTTGTTTCTAGCAGTTTAAAGCAAGCACTGTCATTCAAACCACAATGGCTTAAGTTCTTAAATACAACTTCAAAACATATTCAGCCTTAGTTGCTCAATGAATTCATAGTCATGGTTCACCAAGATCAGTTAAAAGCATTGTCTAAAAAGATTAAACTGAGGGGGGAGGTGCTAAGGACATCCTTAAAAGATGACTAAGTTTCTTGATGTAATTCGCAGGTTTCAGGCGCTTCAGACCCCATTTCTCCATCAACTCTCTAAATCAGGCCTGTACATACCAGTGCTTTTCCTCTAGTGATTGTAACATCAGAAGAAATGAATATTCACAATAAACAATAACGAATGAATCAAAATTCCTACAATCCTTTGCTCCTTTGATAAGAAGCTTAAAAGAGGTTCTTTCAGAGCTATTTACTGAGTTCTCATTCTCAGAGTCATACCTAGTTCTTATTATTTTATTTACATATCTTAACCAGTATAAGTTGTTTCAGAGAAAACTAAGAGATAATAAAAAAAAAAGAAATGAGAGATATGTATCATCCAAAATAAGTCAGGTGTGAGATAGGTTCTCTCTCAGGTACGAGATAGATTCATTCTCTCTCTCCTCTCTCTCTCTCTTCTGACCCTGTTGTTCTTCCCCGTGCATGTGCTGGAGGGCCCCATGCAGGGCCTGGAAGAGCTCCAGGTTGAGCTTGCCAGTCTCCCTCACCTCTAACTCAGAAAACAGGACTTTCTGCCTTTTAAGCCTCTTCCTGTCAGCTGCCAAGATCGATTGCCTCCTGACCCCCCAATAAAATGATCCTTGAGTTTCCTTTTGAGTCCATTTTAAAATTATTTTATTTATGAGCGTCAGAACCGGCAAATAAAATTCTGCTTCAGGCTGGAGGCGGAACACAAACACTCTAGGAAACTGTTCCTTCCTCTAGGCAGTGCCTGGTAGCCAGGCAAGCACATCAAAACAGCCAGGAAAAGTCTGCAGACTCCGCCTTCTCTCTCTCTCTCTCTCTCTCTCTCTCTCTCTCTCTCTCTCTCTGCATTGGCAAAAGAGCACACAGTAAGAGTTGGCTGGGATTCATATTGATTTCCCACTGCACTGGTTTCTTAAGTGCTCTGTTGATCCGTGTCAAGCAATAAGTTCCCTGCCTCAGCAGGCACATCACCTCCCCATTTGTCCTCACCTAGATTTAAGGTGCCCGTATGATGAGTTGAACAAGGACATCATTTTTCCTACTGGTGTCACTGGGCCCAAGCCACTGCATGTCATATGATAGCTAACGCTGCATGCATCTACACTCGCCCTGTGAGATCGTACCAGCAGAGACCACACTGCATGGCACACAGGTAATAGTGGCATCCTATTTGGTACATCATGACTCCTCAAAGGAGATGCAAATGACAGTGAATACAGAAAAGGCTGGCTTTGGTGGGACTGTGAATAATGCCCCCTGTTTGCAGCCTCTGCAGCTGGGTGCAGAGAAGAGAGAAGCAAGGAGAATTGCAATGTGTGATGTTCCTGACAGTTTTCGTCTTTGTTACACAAGAGCTCCTATGCAGATAGATGGAAAATGTGTGATTGTGCTGCTAATGACATTGTACAGGAAATTAAGCATATACATTTGGAGAAGGCATTAAATCAGCAGGACCTTAATTTAAAAATTTAAAACTGTATGGAAATCCAGCCTGCTCATGGCTGTGGAATAGAAAGTTACACAGCATCCCGAGTCTGTTTATGGAAAGACTGCCAGCAAACCAAGCTTGGGCAGAGCATCGTAATGGTTCGCGTGCATTCAGGGTTACTGCGTCCAAGAAGTAGCTGCCAACCCTGACCATTTGGGAGTGTCAGTCATTGCTTAGGAACTCCATCCCCCACCGTCCCATCGGGCAGGTGAGGAGAGCTCAAGGATGGAAAGCAGCACGCAGGTTGCTTCTGACTAATTCGTGGAATAACATTATGTAAAATTAATCAAAAGGGGTTGGGTTTGAAACTGCTGAGAACACACCACTGAGCCAGGGTGTGTGGATCGTAGGAGTTGAGGGTAACCACGCAGTTGCCTGCTGATGAAGTCTCACATTTATACATTTTGGTGAAGCAAATAGCTTGGGGAGCTGCGGTATCAAGTGCTAAGATGAAAATCTTTATGCATCTTTTCTTTTCCTTGATTTCAGTTATGCCATACAACAGTGCCCACCACTGCGTGGTAGAGGTGGAAAACTTCCTGTTCGTGTTGGGTGGAGAGGACCAGTGGAATCCAAATGGTAACTACTGCACAGTTTTAACTGTAGGCACTTTGTATAAGTCAGCTTTGCGTCACTACAGTGAATTAAGTAGACAACTAGCTAACTTTAAAAAGAGTCATTCAGTTCAGTTTTGGAGGGACAAAGTGTGTACCTGCATTGCTTCGGTTTTGATTTTGATGGGGTGAATGGACGGTAGCCCATCATGCAAGAAGTGAATGTAGGAGTAAAACTGTCACATCATGTATGGGGGCTAAAAGAAAGAGAGAAAATGGTCTGGGTCTCGCCTTATGGGTGCATGGTTCCGAGGAACTAAGGACCTCCAGTAAGGCCTACCTCCTATCTGCTAATACCACCACCTTGTGGACCAAGCCTTCAACCTACAAGTGAGGCTTGAATAAGACTCATCCGAACCATAAGCAGAGCTGAACAAGGTACATGCACACTAAAAGGGACGAGCATGGTTAGCATCCATCCTTTTTGTAATTAGTGCAGAAAAGTATATTTCTGTGTAACAGGGTCAAATGAGGTAGTAAGGAAGTTGGGCTGATGATGGGAGGGAGGGTCACTCATGAAGCTAACTGAGGACATACGCAACAGAGCATTTACTCGTTGATTCTCTGGAGATTTGATTTCACAGTGATACCCAGCCCCTGTCCTTATCCATCCCCCAAGGAATCCCACAAGCATAAGCACAGACTCCCCAGGGGAAGGTTGAGTCAGCTGCAGCTGTTCAGAACCTCTCCCCCTTCCCCACCACTCTCCTCCCATTCTGTCTCTATGATAAGCATTCTCTCCTGCCTGCTGTCTGTAACTCTAGCTCAAGTTCTCTTGCAGCAGGTTGGACTGAAGACCCATTATACGTACTATAGCTTTCACAACTATGTCTTCCAAAGATTGTACACCATCCTCCCCATAAATGCACCACAAAGAGAAATGAAACCTTTAAGCACACTTCCAAGACAAACGCAAAGAGAACATTGTGCCTTGCAGAATGTGCAGAATCATCAAGGTGTTTTTGGAAAGCTTGCACGCGAAGGAGTTGCAGTTGTAGCCTTCTGTGTAACAGTGATTATGACTGAGAAACCATCAAGCAGCTTCAGATACACATCTTTAAAGCCCCAAACGTCCAGCGGAACTAGCATATACTGCATGCATTTTACACACTGCATATACTGCACGTATTTTACACACTGCATATACTGTGTATATTTTACATATAGCAGATACTACATATATTTTACACATTGCATATGTGGCATATATTTTACACATTGCACATACTGCATATATTTTACACATTACATATATGGCATATATTTTACATATTGCATATACTGCATATATTTTACATGTTGCATATGTGGCATAGATTTTACACATCGCATATACCATATATATTTTACATACTACATATATGGCATATATTTTACATATTGCATATACTGCATATATTTTACACATTACATATACTGCACGTATTTTACACATTACATATACTGCATATATTTTACATATTGCATATGTGGCATATACTTTACACATCACTTATACTGCATATATTTACCATATTGTATTTATGGCATATATTTTACACATTGCATATACTGCATATATGTTACACATTGCATATACTGTATATATTTTACATAATGCATATATATGGCATATATTTTACACATTGCATATACTGCATATATTTTATTGCAAATGCTCTCTTTCAGTGTCTGCACTAAGGCAAATTATAGAAAAATTGTGACATCTGCTCTCTTTAGAAAATCTGAAAGCAATACCAGGCTGCCCACATTTTAAGAAAGAGGGAGATGGCTCTGTCAATAAAGTGTTGGCCTTGTAAGCACGAGAGCCTGAGTTCAATCTCTAGAACCCATGTCAAAAAAGAAAAAAACAGTAGGTCGTAGGGAAAGGGCCAGACATACACAGTCTTAAGTAATCCCACTGCATTGCAACTGGACTTGTCTAAGCAAAAACCCATAGAGCACTCTTTGGGAAAGCCATATTAAAACCAAAACACTGGGCCCAAGAGATGGCTCAGTGAAAGGCAGTTGCCACCAAGCCTGAGAATCTGAGTTGCATTCCTGAAACCCTCATGGTAGAAGGACTAATTCCCACAAGTTGTCCTCTGACTTCCACAAGTATACCATGACAGACATGCACTAGCCACCCGCAACCCAGCACACACACACACACACACACACACACACATACACACACACACACAATTGTTCCATAGGCATAGGCCAGAAAATATAACTACTATGTGCTTGTTTTCCAACTTCAAATCAAAAGGCTCAGAGATGACTGGGTGGGGAGGTATGGTAGAATGTAAAGGATCTATTCCTCCTCCTAGTCTAGAGGGCCAAGCTATGATCTTTGAAATAATTCAGAGCCCCATATAACAACTCCATTGGATTATGCTGATTTTGTTCTACCCACTCCTGAATCAGAAACTAGGAGTAAAGCCCTGTATGAACATGTTCTAAGGGAAAGGCTGTCAACCCACAATTGCAGTTACCATGGGAGCCATTTGCTGTAGCCTCAATGTGTGTCACGTGGAGACTCACATGGCAGCTTCTTGTCAGTTAGGGATGCCAAGGCATGGTGTGCTTGTGACAATGATCGATGATGCTGAACATGCTGATCAATGTCTTCTCTTCATTATAAGCCACCAGGAAGCTCCAGATGAATTTTTGTTAAAGTTTTAATTACTGTATGTTAATGTCACTACGACCCTCAGTTATAGTCCTAGCAGCTCTCTCTTTCTATTTGATTCCTTTTTAGAATTTTGGAAACTTCCAGATGAGAGTTGGGTCATTCTGTCTTTGACTTATATGACACAAAATATCATTTAACAGATCTAGGCAAAGGCTGTTGGACACTGATGTAGCTTTCCTACACAGAAGAGAAGTTGTTATATCAGAGGCAAATAAGCCAGCCTTTGCACTCCATGTCAATTAAAAGGTCATTGGCTGGAAATTCCCCCAGGTGGAGGGTCAGAGCAGAAGGCAGGTGGCCTTTTCTGCAAAGCTGTGCCTGTGGCCACAATGAACCAGCACTACAGCTAAGAAATGGGCTCCACTATTCTTGAGGGGATCTGAGCTATGCACCAAAACCATCCAAAATTCCATAAAGACTTTGGATGCAGCTTCACACCCTGTCCATCCAGTCAACCACAGTAGTATTGCAGTAATATTTGGTGAGTACTTGATATTTTAGCCAGAAATTTGGCTGAAGTCTCACCTACATCATTTCACCTAATCATCAGAAGTACCGTGAGAGCTCAAATTTTTCCTGTGAAAGGAAACTAAGCCTGAAAAGGTAAAGTACCTCACCAGGACCAACTGTTTATAGAAGCAAAGGAACTGATTCCAGCATACGCTGTCTGAGCCCAGAGCCTGGGTCCATAACAACTACATTACATTGCATCACATAAATATATCTTCTCCATCTGGTCAACCACAGTAGAAACAATTGTGTTTTTGCCCTTGGTCTTGTGAATGAAATTAGTGTTGCATCAATGGAAAGTGACTTCCACTCATTCACAAAGAACTCTCATCATTCCACAGCTAGGAGAAAACAGTAAAGTATCCAAGTGTCTCAAAAATATAGACGTGTCCCCATTATGCACAAACCTGGCAGATCACTGACACGAGCATTCATCAGTACTCAGGGGAGGGGGCTCACCAACAGAAATGGCTCAATTGCAGGATCTGGAAAGATACTACTTTCGAGGGCCACTGTGGGGTTGGTGAACACAGTTAGGGCAATTTCTATCTAGTCTCCATTTTGAATGAGCTTAAAATTTTTTGTATATGGAGGGTAGAGATGCTTATATATTTATTTAAGATTCTTTTGTTTGAAATTAAAATTATTTGGTAAATAATGGTTTGATATTTGGGAGGGTTTTGGAGGAGAAGTAATGCCATTTGTAAATTATAAACCTGTTGATTCTGCAGAAAGTTACTGTTACAGATAGGATGCCTTTGTTTTGTACACGATTCAAACCTTTGTCTTATATTTCTTATATCCAAAATATTTAGGCACCTGACATTTTCAACCAAAATTTCAGTTATATACTGTGGTTTTATTTGTTGCAATACATTAAATTTCAGAGGTATTTTGGGGCTCAAAAGCTAGGATTTCTAAGTCAATATGTGAATTTCACATAATAAAGCTATTAATGGTAAACAAAGTAATATATACTAACTATATTTTCCACATTTGTATAGTATATTACATGTATTTTGTGGTATTGAGATTATAGAAAGTTTAAAGTATCAAACATGCATTTGATGTGTATTTTTAAACAAATTTATGGCAATTAAAGTATTTGAAGACAAGGGGAAAATATAAGCTTTTCATATTTAATGCCTTGTGCAATTAATACTAAAAGATAAAAATCATGTAATAATATAAAATATGCTTTCATGGAATAGCTAAAAGAGAGAAATTTTTAAATTCATGGCTTCAAATGTAATGCAGATATGTATATGTTCCAAAGGTGAAATCTCAAGTTAAACATTAGTTCTTTTGAAAATGTTCATGAGCTGTGTATCCCTGGATAAAATACAAAAATTGTGAATTCATAATCACAAATGTAATTTTATTTGTTGATGATCTTGATTACCAGACCAAAACTTGAGATCAGAAATCATATTAGTTACTGGAACTACACGCAGTCCACATACAAGCTCCTCCACTCAGCACTATATAAATATTAACTCCCGATCCTTAATGATAGGGATGCATTTACTATTGTAATAGGTATACGTATATCCCATCAGAATATATAGAAACTTCATCTACATTTGCCTCTTACTAATGAATGAGCCCTAGCACCTTCTTACAGGAGGGCTTTCTTACCCACTACTCTCTTCCCTCCACTACCATTGGCTGGAAACTGTTCCCCTTTCCCCACTGACCATTTCACTAGGTGTTAGTCAGCAACGGTGATTAACCTTGGAGCACCAAGGATAATATATTTTTCCTACAGAGAAATTGCTACAAATTCAAAAAATCTCACTCATAAAGCAGTTCTGGACATATTCTTTCTGGAATTGAGGCCTATGTGGAATCCAAGTGTCTGGATCATCCTTACCCTTTTTCTTCTTTCTGTGCATACCGAATACAATCAGTTTATCACCACTGGGCCTGAACAGCCAACGTTCCCACATGAGAAGGAACTCCTAATTTCACAATCACAGAATCCTTAGAATTCCTTGCCATCTCCTTCGCATGGTTGTTATCAACTTCCTCCTGTTTACTCAAAACCAGGCTATCATCTGAGAATGCCCCTTCCCAGTCCCCCTTTCTAATGGGGACCTGGCTTCTCCCTTTCTTCATATGTTGTTATTGGAGACAGGGAGCAACCCCAGGCACTTTAGAGGATGTCTTCAGATCATACGATTTGTTTCCTTTATGTGACAGCTCTACACTGTCTTCCCCCTCCACACTGCGTCCTTCACTCATCCAAGCCACTTGCCTCTCCATCTCTCTGCCCATTCTAGCTTCCCTCCTCACTGAGTTTATAGTATTACCCTGCATCTCTGTCACTGTAGTGCATGCACCTCTAGCCTCCTCTTCTCTGTCTCTCTCTGTCTCTCTGTCTCTCTCTCTGTCTCTGTCTCTGTCTGTCTCTCTCTCTCCCTCTCCCTCTCTGTGTTTGTCTCTTCCCACCCTTTCTACCTGGTAATGATGGTCATGGTTAAACCTAACTCTTTTCTATCTCTTCTTTGTATGTACCTGAGCCACTAAGCATGGAAGAGAAAATCATACAGCTACCCTACTGACTGGTCAGGCCCATCAACTTCCGTGGTCAGTACATGTGTCCATTTTCCAAGCTAACTATTTCCTACCTGCTCTCATTCTCTCATACTTTCATATTCTCTCTCTCTCTCTCTCTCTCTCTCTCTCTCTCTCTCTCTCTCTTCCCATCCTCAAATGCCTTCTCCAACTCCCCACACTCACTCCCAGTTGATAGCCTTACTTCTTATGAAATGACCACAAAAGCGATCAGAAAATCAATTCATCTTGCAAACATTAATATATTTATTTTCACCACTGCCCGTTTCTATTTGTCAGGTTTCTGTTCTTCACAAATTATCTGAGAAAAATCAACTAGAAGAGACTGATTTAGACTCACAGCTTCAGGGGCTCTGGATTATAGTCACTTATTCCCATTGCTTATCGATCTGTGATGAGACAGAACAGACTGTGGTGGGGAGCAAATGTGGAAACAAAGCTGCTCACCTCATGGTGGCCAGGAAGCAGAAAGAAAGAGGGAGTGGGGCCAGCAGCAAGATGTATTCCAAAGGCAGTCCCCTAATGATGCTTCCTCCAACTGAGTCTCACCTTCTACATCACATTCAGCTCTGAATGTGATGGATTAATCCATGAATAACATTAGCACAGTCATGGCCCAGTCCTTTCCCAATAGTGCCAAGAGGTAAAGACTAAGCCTCTACCACATGGGCTTCTGGAAGCAGCTCAGACTTCCATCGTAACCACATATCCCACTCTCTTCCTATTATTACACCCATCTAAGGTCTATACCTTGGTCCCACTTGCCTATTCATGGGTTTTTCAGTATTTCTAAGCTTAAACAAATGACTACCAAACACTCAATGCTGCGTTTCCCATTTTTAATCTTCTATCAAGTGAAAAGTCCTGAGACGTACTGTATGTCCTCCTACCTCCATGTTCTTCCATCTTAGTCTCTGAGTAGCCACCACTCTGGCTTCCATCTCTATCAGTTCACACCACTCTGTCCATCTCCATCAATTTACACCACTCTGTCCATCTCCATCAGTTCACACCACTCTGTCCCTCTCCATCAGTTCACACCACTCTGTCCATCTCCATCAGTTCACACCGCTCTGTCCATCTCCATCAGTTCACACCACTCTGGCTTCACACCACTCTGGCTTCCATCACCATTAGTTCACACCACTCTGTCCATCTCCATCAGTTCACCAAAGCAGCACTGTCAAGGCCTTGCTGCCTTCCTAGCTCAGCTGCTCGTCCTCTCCTCTTTCAAACACTATTAGAGTTGGCTTTCAAATTACTATGCTTTCCTGATTGTTCTTCTGTCCCAGGGGCCACTCTCAGGACCCCACTCTCTTCCAATCCCATCCTCCCTTCTTAAAGGGTTTCACCCAGCCCTGTGTACTTAAAGAGTAACTAATGTACAAATTACTGCAAAATTCAGCACCACTAACCTTATTCAGCCACTAGTTTAGTAGATACCTTCTGTTTGACATCCTAGAGATCTCTCTAGGTTAAATACAAAACAGACCTCATAACTTCTTTCTTCAGTTCCTAGTCAATAGCTACTTAGTCTTTCTCAAAGGAGCAAATTGTGTGACCTACCTTCCAGTCACTCAAGCTGAAAACCAGACAGCTGTCCTCAGTGACACACTCACTTGTACCAAAATTCATTCCCTTAAGTAATGTTATTTTGCTGAACCTCTACAATGCTTCAGACTTGACCATGTCTCACCACTCCAACTCCATTCAAGGCATCAGCTCTTTCCTTGATCTCTGTGGGCTCCTGGGAGTCTCACGCTTCCACCAGGTTGGGGGGGAGGGCTCTCTAGACTCTTTTTTACACAGCAACCAGTCTAATAAATGAGGCCATGTCTTCACTTGCTCAAAACCCTTCAGTGGCTTCCTGCCCTTCTTAAAACAAAATACAAAACCTACATCACTTCACAAGACACACTATGTTCCAGAACTTTGGCACCTCTCTGAGGACTGTCCAGTCACCCCAGCATTCTGTCCATTTTTGAACTCATGACCAGCCTGCCCTACTGACTTTGAGGCTCATTCTGCACATTTGTGCACAGATTGCACAGACATCTGTAAGCAACAAGTGACCATGTTCTTTCAACTGGCCTCTTCTCAGTAGCTCCTGACAGCAAACGGACCTTTATCCTTTTTTCCTACCAATATGTGCCCAGAGCCTAGCATACACAAATCGTATAACAGGTGCTCAGTATATATTTGTATAATTAATTCAGCAATGTGATCACACACACACACACACACACACACCACACACTGGGTGAAGTCTGGCACCTCATGTTTCGTTACATATATGAACATAGGCAGCATTTTAGGGTCAGGGCTTCAGGTGTGAGCTGATTACTCTCTCTAGTGCTACCTGGAAAACATAATTCACTCTGCCTGCTTCCATTTCTTCCTTGATGTCAATATGTATGCAAAATAAGATTCATTTTAATACCTTGGAAGTGCTAATGTGCTTCTTAAACTCAGTAGAGGGGATAAGCTGGTTAAGCAGCTCAGAAGACTCAACGCTTCCTGTTTCACCAAATGCACTTGTGTTTGTATCACAGTAACTGTGAGTCTCCCAAACACACACACAGAGCTTCGGTGACAAACGTGGCACACAAGTAATTGTTGTGACTGCTATTCTTTGCATGGGCAGACAAAGGACTCTACCACGCTAGGGTTCTTGGGTCATTAAAAAAGTATAGATGCTGATAATGGGGATGAGGTATGTGTGGGGCATGTGTTGCCTTAATGTTCCCTCAATTTTGCTGTTAACTTTACATCTCTAAATAAAAGTTTTAATAGTTTTAGAAAGAAAACATGGGAAAAATTTTGATGCTATACAAAGCATTCTGTGAAACGGAGAATTTATAGACAATATCTTCTTGTTTTTAAAGTATTAAAACACAGAAATTTTTACCCTAATCATGATTTTAAAAACAGTTTAGCTAATATACTTGCATTTGGTGTGATTGATTTGGGCTCTCCTAACTCCTTCCAGATAAAAAGAAAAACGGAAGGACATTTCCAAAGCACTTTCTCGCCCCTCAGGCCCTCCCCATGCTGTGCTGGGGTCCCTTGACTAAAATCATGCTTGTTAAACCACAGAAGATCTTAAAACTGATAAATGTGCAGATCAAGAAAGGGATCTAAGTTTTAAATGTCTCAAATGTATTTTTACAGGAAAACACAGCACAAATTTTGTCAGCCGGTATGACCCCCGATTTAATAGTTGGATCCAACTTCCACCCATGCAAGAAAGGTAAGTGTTCATTTCTTATGTCAGAAGCATTTGGGAACGCTGTGTGGAAGCAGGCGTGCAACATGGTAAAGAAAGTTGGGCAAAGTCGATGAAACACACACGAGTCGAAGAACTAACCTTGGCCCTCCCAATTTACGCTGCTCACCTTGTTAACTCAATAGAGAAAAATAATTAAACAAGTCAATTATTTGTCCTAATGTAAGAGGAAGAAAAAACAACGTGGCTTATCTTCCCTGACCATATTGATTGGTATTTTGCAACCAGAACTACATTAACTGCTAGTTATATTATTCTTCTCTGTGATAATATATTGAAGTCCTAAAATCAAATCATAGAACACCACCCTCATAATGGTCTGCATGTCAGTGAAAAACCTTCTAAATTAAATATTAAAGCATTCAATATTGGACTTAATATTCAATATTAAAGTTTGACATTTAACATTTAAATATATATTTATATTTAAGATGCAATAACTTAGATCATTTACATTTGCCTCACCAAATAGCTTCAAGAATAGATCACTTATCAGCTTTAAAAAATAGTAGCCTAGCTGGGCATGGTGGTACAGGCTATAATCCCAGAATTTGAGAGATGAAGAGAAGATGATCAAGAGTTTAAAGCCAGTCTCGTCTACCCAGTGAGTTTAAGACCAGCCTGGGCTACATGAAACCCTGTCCCCTAAAACAAAACAAATAAAAATATTGTCATTCTATTTTTCTCACACAGAAGGTTTATTTCACTCAAGTTTCTTAGCTACCAAGACACAATATTGCAACACACACACACACACACACACACACGCATGTATATATATATATATACATATATATGCACGCGTATATTTTCTCATGATGTATTCAATCTTGGTGCCATGTCTTTATATGCATAGGAAAATGCACACATGGTAGATTCTGAGCACTTGGCTCTTTTCACATCCTCTTCAGCAAATTCTCCAATAAGATAATGACAGTAACCTGCAACTTATTTCCTCGTCCCCATGGAGACTTGTAGAAGAAGCATGTTAACAGCATTCTTTTTCTGTCATGTTCCAAGTATGACCTTTCCCTTCACATCTCTTTTAGCAGATTGCACTGAGATCAAGTGAGATAGATCCCTAGTCACAAATTCCATGTTAAAAATAATCTTCAGAAAATAGCATTTATTCCAAAACAGGCATTTCTACAGTAAAACAGTATGGATCTATGTTATGAAGAAACCCAGTATCTTTCTTGCCCATACAAGTATAACTCTCCTAGACTGCCATGGCATGTAATCCCAGCATTCAGTAGGCTGACAGAAGGATCATGAGTTTGAGGCCCGCCTGAGCTATACAGTGAGGCCCTGTCTCAAATAAATAAACTCCCAAAATAATAAGCTAAAAAATAAAGCTGACTTTCAGGAGATGACACACTACTTGCTAAAATGATGAAACACAATACCTCAAGCCCCATGGGCTCTTTCAGGAATGTCTCTCCCAGCTGTACCTCAAACACTTCTAAGTCAGTTAATACCCTGACAAATTTCATGAGCTGGAATTGTCCTGATGTCTTTCTCCAAAGCACCCCAATTCTTTCTTCTGGGGATGAGTTTCTATTGACTGCTAGTGTAACTGCCTCACTTGGCCCTTTAATCAAAACCATTCCAGAAAGTTCTATTTACAAAAGAACTATCAACACATTTGAAATGTCACTCTCTCATCACCATGGTCCCCTTTGCTGGGGGCTGTACACCATGATAATTAACCTTCACGCCTTTGGCTTGGGAGGCATAACTCACGTCGCGGTCAATTATCCCACTATAGAGCCCCTAAGGATGGGAAGTATTGCTGCAAAACCTAATTAGTAATTTTTTAAAAATGTGTATTGTTTACTTGATAGTCTATAATGACCTCCTCTGAGGCACAGTGGCCTAGCATGGCAGGGTCCTACTTAGACAATTTTTAGCAGCTCATTGACCTGACAAAAAGACCTGCCATGGTCTGTCGGAGCCTGGCAGCCACCGTTGACAGGATGGACTGTTTAACGTTTCTTTCTAAGTCATTATGGTATATCATGTCAGGTCCCCAGTAAAAGAGATTTTCTTCTTCTTTTTTTTAAGATTTAGAACAATCAACCCTACAGACCAAATAAAGAGTGTCTTACAGAGCTGAGCAGGAAAAGGCAGATCTCACAAATACCCAGCCAATCTTCTGGCTCCATCTCTCCTGTGGACTGGTTGACCCAGGCAGCAATCCATAACTGCAAATGAAATGTGTCTTCTGTCTCTGCCAGGCTTCCATTCAAAATAGCAATGACTATTGGTGTTTTAATTGGTCATTAAACATAGGAGGGGAAATCCCAAGATAGATGAGATACTCCAGATTAGGGAAGCCTGTTGAAATGTCTGGGTAAATTTTACAAGATGTACATAGATCATGACTCAAATCAGAAGTCTGCCATCTACCTGCTTGTTACTTTCCCACCACATTGCTGAGACATTCTTATACTGAGAAGTTACCGGATTGAATGGGAACTACAGAAACACCTTGTATGTCATCTTGAAGGTAACTCACCCTTACGGAGCTGGGAACAGGCCAAGGATATCTTACTTAAATCAAAATTTCCAGAGGGGTCTCTTCATACTGCTGAGTAACCTCCCAGTTCAACAGGGAACTGAGCACATGGCCTCTACGTTTACTCAACCATGGGTGAGCTCATCAATTCTATGCCTTCTAGCTATGAATTTACTAGCAAAAAATTGAATGGAAATACAATTTTAAATGTACACAACTGAAGGCAATGACTGTCTTTCCCTGAGAATCCATAAGGATCCAAGAGTTCAACAAGGAAGAATAAGGCCCCATGAGCCCCAACTCATTCCTGACTGAAGACAGGCCCAGTGGTGTACCCAGAGCTGAGCCCACCAGGCTCCAATGGGCAGTTCCAAACCATCCTCACACAGAGGGCCCTGGTTAAATTAAATGGATCATGAAGCAAATCAAAAGGACATGGGAAAGGAATTTGTAAGAAGGAAAACGTTGATGGAGGAGTGAGATAGGAGGTGGGGAGAGAGAGTAGGTGACCAGAATGCATTATACACATGACGAAATTGTCAAAGAAAAAATATAATAAAAATTTGTATTATTAAAAAAACAATTTCAACTAACTATTTTGGTCTTAGATTTAGCATTGATTCTGTGGTTAGAGGTAACAAACTTGAGAACTTAGGTCAAGAGAAGTGCTTTGGTGACATCTACTTTTTAAATAAAATGGGCATCTTATACTTAGCAGTAGAGTATTGTTCTTACCTCCTAGCTAGTCTAAAAGCTGGTGGGAGGAAACAGCTTGAAGAGCAGCATCAAGCCATGTGATCCACAGAGTGAGTAGCTAAAAGCTAATATGCCCAGAATGATTCAAACTTAGATATTTTTTGTTTCCAAAAAAAATCTTAGGAGTAACTATGGGAGACAATATTCTAGTTGAAAAATCTGTTGTTTTTAACCTGATGATAAAAGTCAACAGTTCAAACCAGGATAAAGTTATAGCAATTCAATCTTATGCTTAAGGATATACATTGTATAATACATATAGATGATAGATGATTGATAAACAGATGATAGGTAAATGATGATAGATAACAGATGGGTGATGGGTAGCCAGACAGGTGATAGATGATAGAATATAAATAATAGATGATAGAAGTGATAGATGGTAGATAGATACAAAGATATATACATAGATAGATAGATAGATAGATAGATAGATAGATGATAGATA